ACGTGCAAGAACTGGACGGCCGTCAGAACGTGGATTGAAGAGAATAGGGCAGTGGGTAGTCAGTGACTGGATGCGTCGTTCTACGGCCAAGGTGGAGGGGTTTATAGTCAGATAATAGGAGATGTAGTAATTGTAGATGAGAACATTGACGCCGATTTCGGGGGCAGATTTTGGATAATTTGCAAATTTGGATTCTGAAAAGGGCAAAACCAGTGACAAATCCAGCGCAGTCCTCCGTATTTCTTGAAGAGAAGCAAGAACAGAGCAGACTATTTTCCGTCCCGTGCGCCTCTGCTTCAAGGAGTTCTAGACTCCCTAATCATTGATCGTCCCCAGCATTCAACAGCGCCCACAATGTTCCTTGCTTCGCGACCAACTCGGCAAAGGCACCCTGTTCGGCCACCCTCCCCCCCTCCATGACCACGACGAGGTCCGCCACCGCCATCATCTCCCTCGCGTGTGTGACCATGATAACCGTCAGTTTGCCCTGCTTCTGTCTAACTAAGCGGACGATAGTCCTTTGTATGGTGTCCGCGCTTTTGCGGTCCAGCGCGCTGGTCGCTTCGTCGAGGATGAGGATCTTGGGATCGCGCATCAGCGCGCGGGCGATGACGATGCGTTGTGCCTGGCCGCCGGAGACGCCGAGGCCGCCGTCGCCCACGACGGTGGCGTAACCCTGCGGGAGCGATTGGACGAACTCGTGGATCCCCACAGCGCGCGCGGCAGATTCGACCCGCGTTGCCAACGTCCACGGAGATTCTGGGGGGAGGCCGTAGGAAATGTTCTCGCGCACCGTGGTCGGGAGGAGCACTGGGTGCTGTGGGACGGCGGCGATCAGGGACCGGAGGCAGGAGAGGTCGAGTGTTCGAATGTCACGACCGGACAGTGTGAGAGATGCTGGACCGTCCCAGGGGTTGGAAGGGGACAGGGCGAGATGATCAGCCGTCGGGGGGTAGAGGCCCAGCAGGAGAGATGTGATAGTCGACTTTCCAGAGCCCGAGGATCCTACGATCGCGGTGGTTTTGCCAGATGGAATGGTGAGATTGAGTCTCCGAAGGGCCGCTGCCTCTGGACGGGTCGGGTAAAAGAATGTCAGGTTGATGAAATGGATCGGACCCGAGAGCGTGGTTGGGTCGTCTTTGTCGAGCTGAACCTCCCCAACTTCTTCATGAGAGTTCACTTGCATATGTGCAAGTCGAATCAGGCGACTCGCGGTATCGGTCGCTGAACTCGTCTGGGGTATGTATGTAACGACCGCATTAGCGTTGGCGGTACAAAACAAAAGGAGACCAAACACGGTGAATATAGAGTTCACCGGCCATTCGCCATCTTTGGCGAGCCGGGCTCCATACCAAAAGATCAATGGTGTGAAGAAAGCGATGGCGGATTCAGACAGGCCGAAGAAGAAGCCACTGAATAAAGCTCGTCGGACACCAATGGCAAAGGTCTGTTGGGTTGCATTGCGATACTTCTTGTGGAAGTAAGATTCCAGTGTGAGCGATCGAACTGTCTTGATGTCTGCAAAAGATTCGATAAAAATTTCGTTGACACGGTCGCGGGCTGCGCTTGTTCGAGATTCCCAAAGAGAAGCGACAGACCCAAACCACTTTGCTAGAGCGTAGAGCACGGGAGAGGCTGCAAGACTGACCAGTGTGATCTTCCAACAGGAAAACATGGCCCATATCATTGCCACAGTCATCATGACAGCAACGACGAGGAGTTGGGCCGCAAATCTTTCCACGAGATCCTTGACTTCTTCTACGCTCTTATCGAGTGAAGACATGAGAGCTGCAGGGTTATTTTGGTCTTCATCGAACCAGGCCTTAGGTTGGCGTAGAATGCGCTGCAATGCCTGAATTCTGAGCGTGTCCACCCACATTTGGCTTACCGAGTCGAGAAGATATTGCATGAAGAAAGACGCACACCCATCAGTGACGGCGATTCCGAAAACGACCATCGAGTAGATCAGGGCCTTCTTCTCGTACCCTCTTGGCAAGTAATAGGTGTCGAAGATTTGCACGAGCGCATAAGAAAATGCAGGGGGAGCTCCTGAGTGGATCAGCGTCGCCAGAAGCCCAAGAAGCAGCTTGGTTCGACGAGCGTTATCGAGTGTAGGCCATATTGTACGCAAAACTGTGAGGATTGAAGCTGCTGGTTGTAGTCGTTTGTTTTCTCTATCAACAAAGGACACGCCAGTCCCGTAGCCTGGAATTGTCCCTCCACTTTCAGCATCGGACCTCAGAGGTGGTATAGGCAGTGGTTTGTCCCGCGGTCGTGTGGACTCGGGGACGGGTGATATGAAAATGGTTCTGCGGAGAATGGGTTCAGGGCTGTTATACGTTGATGAAGATAAAGTCGCTCCTTGATACCCAGGCGTAGGTGTTTGACCAAGGCTATATATAGCTTTAGCGCGAGCCATTGATTGACGCTTGAGAAACATCAGCGCAGCTTCACTGCTTGTAGACAGGCCTTTCTTCAGGCTACGTCCAAGTTGTACTCCTTGGCCAGCGTCTTGCATATTTTCATAAGTGCGACCTTGTCTTCCTTCTGCTGGGTCGAAGTCGAAAGAGTCTTTCCGAGATGGGACAGAAGGGCTACACTGGTTTGACCAGCCTGTAGAACCGCCCCAGGACAAGTACCTCGTGGAAAGGTCGTGTTCCTCTTTTACCTGCTGTTTTGCATAAACTCCCTTATCAGTAGTGCTAGTTTCGAAGCCAGCAGCAAGGCTCCCACGACGACCTTCGTGAATAACTCGGCCGCTTTCAAGGACGTACACAAAATCATTTTCTTGTATCTGACTCACATTGTGTGTGATAATGATGGTCGTTTTTCCACGTCGCCACTCCCGAAGAGATTCCATGACAGTTGTCTTGCTCAGATTGTCGAGAGCACTTGTTGCCTCGTCTAGTATCATTATCGGTGTGTTGCGTAGACACGCACGCGCAATGGCAACTCGCTGCACTTGACCTCCAGAAAGAGACGAGCCGCCTGTGCCAACTCTAGTATGGACACCCTCGGGAAGTTGCTCAATGGTGGGTTCCAATGCGGCCATCCTCAGACATTCGCTGACACGCGCATCCGGAACTCGCTCGAAATCACGTTGACCAAGAGCAACGTTGTTGAAAATCGTGTCATTGAAAAGCACACAATCTTGCTGCACGAGAGTGACATTGTTTCTCAGCCAATTAATATCAATATCTCCTAAGGCGTGGTCGTCGATGAAGATTGCTCCACTCTTTGGATAATAGAATCTCAACAGCATATTGGTGAGTGTGCTCTTCCCAGATCCACTCTTGCCGACGATGAACGTTGTCTTCCCAGCCGGAAAATAGAATGTGCAGTTGTCTAGAGCAAGGGACGTGGGACTAGAAGGATAGGCAAAGGAAACCTTTGGACGAATTAGTCGATCGACTTGTCAAATATGTTTTGACACGTACCGCCCGGATTTCGATATTGCCTTCGCAAAACTGCGGTGAGATTCCACCTGCTTTTCGTTGTTGCGATCGCCCACCCGTGACTTTAGCCACCACTACCTCCAACGCTAGGGCTGCAGATTTGGCCCGTTGAAGAATGATGCAATGTGGTAGCAAGTCCTCAAATGCTTTCGTGGCTATAAGACAGGCCCAGAATGTAGTAACCACTTTGCCGGCGGTTATTCCACCTGAATGAACCTGTGTACCGCCAAACCAGAACCCTGCACACATTCATGAGATTTTTTTCTATGATCAGGCGCGAAAGACTTGCCCTGTACAAACATTGCCGTCGTGGTGAAACGTACGAATCCGGATTGTAAGGCAGTAGAGAAAGCCTGCTTCAGAGAGAACACGCCAGCTGCCCTGACCGCGGAAGCGTAGTTGTTTCTTTCCTGGGCTTGAGTATTGGAGCATTTCACAGTAACAATGTTTTTGACGCAGTTGCTGGCTAAGCTGGTTGCGGTGGATAGTTTCTGGTTCTGGCAGTCGATATTTGCTTGTATACGTCGAGAAATGAGCGCGCTTCCAACAGCGATGACAGGTATAGCCGAGAGCACAATCAGGGCCAATTTCCAGTCGGTGAGCAATGCGAGGCTAAGTCCAGCCAGCGCCTGAACCAGGCACATAATGATAAAGCCAAGGGGCTGGGAGCTTCCTAGCTGCAGTTGACTGATCTGTCTGATCTCGTGAGAAACACGCATCGCCACGTTGGGTGCCCCGTACCTTTGAAACCTGGTTAGGAGTGTCCCTACTCCAATTGTTCGCGCCTCGTACCATTCTATTTCACGATCGAGCAAAGATTGGAAGAGCAATTCACGAATGCTCCTGGCTTGCATCTCGCCGAACACCAGCCAAAGGCTAAAAAGGATGCCCTTGAAGAAGAACGTGGCACCTGCGACTCCAAGGAGCGCATAGAGGCTGCGCAGAGAACGGTGCATGAAGGTTGAGCCATCAGTCTTTCCCGCGGCAAAATCCGAAAAGGTGTCGAAGAATTGGCCAAAAAAGAAAGCCATTGCTGGTTGCAAACATCCTGCTGCAGCGGAAATAGTAATGGCTGGCAAAAGAACGAACAAGTGTGCTGTTGCAGTGAATCTGAAAATGCTTCTCCAACGACCGAGGAAGCCATATTTCTGCAGCGCCTCGTTAGACTCAGTTTGATCCTCATCCTGTGCATTGGTGGTCATGTCGTGGAGGTGGATGCTTGAATAGACATGGTTGACAGGACCAACGTATCAATGTCGCGAACCAATTGCAGTGGGACTAAAGATCAAGAATCAACAACTTGAACCATGCGAAGTCATGATTGAAAAAAATGTTCATTCCTTGAATTGAATGCTGAGTGCCAAGGCCGTCGGTGGCACACCTTGGATCCTTGATATTGTTCTGTGGAATGTGCCCACGAGGCCCAGGTATTGAGACATTTGGGGTTCATCCTATTTGAAAGGAGTCTGAGACAGTCTCGTGCTGATTGAACGGTTCGGCATTGCTCTCGGTGTCCAATTTGCGGTCGGCGTGCCCTCTCCCTGTCTATGACTTCTTCTCTTGCTTCTGTGCGTTTTCATAAATCCAGTCGTTCAGTCCAGCTCTGTTTCTAGCAATTTCGATGGCATAGAATTGCACCCGAATCACAAAAATGGTCTCCTTTTCGCCATACTCGGTTTTGGGACTCTTCCTCAGCATGGTGCCGAAGTTGTAGTCTTCGATTTTCTTCTCGCCCTTTTCGTAGACCTGGGCAAAATTGCGCCACTTCTCTTTGCCCTCTTTACTCTTCATGGCATCCTCGTCAATCTCCTCAGCAGGGTCGAAATCCGGAAATTCACGCTTAAAGTGCTCTAGGATCTCGTCGTCAAGTCGAGTCAAGCGAAGTTTTGAGCCAGGTATCTTTTCGAGAATGCCCCAATAGACCGTCATATGCTGCACTGCCCTCACGGCGAATTGTTTCTCCATGTCCTCGTAGTTTGGGGCATTCTCCGGGTCGATAACGTTGGTCAGCGACATCTTGGCGGGTTGATGATGTTGAACTCTAGGAAGTGCGTATCACGAGTTTGACAGACACAAGCTGTGGGATTCAGGTTCACAGCGATTTAGAGAATTCTTCTAGCTGAGATGGTTTGTGGAATTGCCGGATGATTTTTCCTCATCAAAGTCTTTGACAAAAATGACTTGAGAGACTCACTTTTGATATTTGCGCCAAAAGAGGTTAGTGTTCTTGGCGTACACGTGATAAAGATCCGGCGAAGCAATGGGCCGGGAAATGCAGGCAGCGAAAGGGCCGCATGACACCGCCAACTGCTCGGCCGCTCCATCTACACTTGATATCTGGCTGCAGTTTTGTGTCAGACGGGAGATTAGCCGGTCTCGCCAAGATTTCCGTGCCTCTGGGCCTCGTTTCAACCGAAGGCGGCTTGGTCAAACATGCAAAGTCCCAGATCCGGTGGCTGCCATCGCACGGCCCGCCTTCTCCGTCGACCAGAAAACGGCAAATTGCTTGCCTCGGTAGGGTACCCCGCGGAATTTCTGCTGGTCATTTGGCTCCAATAGGTGTGGTTAGAACCATGTCTAGGCAGGCACGGAGCTTGAGGGCTTTACTATTTTGTCCTGTGCATCGGCTATAATGCGTGCCCCATCCCAGACCTCGTTGAAGTGACATCTTTCAAATCCTCCAACCACCGAACAAAACCACCAGAATGAGGCAGTATCGCGACAACCAGCCAGACCCAGGAGAAACATCTGCAACTCCGCAGCGACCGCCCCTTTTCGTCGCCCAGTTACCACCTAGCAGCCATGGCCGAAGGAAGATCCAGAGGGTGCTGATTGCAAACAGAGGCGAAATTGCATGTCGAATCATTACGACATGCAGGAAACTCGATCTAACCTCGATCGCCATCTATGCAGAGGAAGACTCATCTTCACGCCATGTGGCTGAGGCAGATGAAGCAGTCAATCTGGGAAGCATCAATCAAGCCGGCGGAAACCCATTCTTAAACGTCCAACTTCTGGTAGAGGTGGCTCGATCGAGGGGCGCTGATGCCATACATCCGGGCTATGGCTATCTCAGCGAGAACAAAGATTTCGCGGATGCTGTACGTCAAGCGGGGTTGATCTTTATTGGACCAAGCTCTCAGGCCATGTCGACGCTAGGTGACAAGCGGAACTCGAAGGACTACTTGAGGGAACATGCGCCAAGTGTTCCGCTGATTCCAGGATTCACCGGGTCGAGTCAGAATGTCGAGGAGTTGGAATCTGCAGCAGAAAATGTAGGGTTTCCGGTGATGCTGAAAGCGTCTGCGGGAGGTGGAGGTCGCGGGATGCGGATTGTTCGAGAGCGCTCGCAACTTGCGGGCGAGCTTGCTCGCGCTCAATCCGAGGCCCAGCGCTCTTTTGGGTCCAGCGATTGTATTTTGGAGAAATACATTGAAGCGGCCAAACATGTCGAAGTTCAAATCATTGGCGATAGCCATGGCAAAGTCCTCTCATTGTGGGAGAGAGAGTGCTCTGTTCAGCGACGACACCAGAAGATTATCGAGGAGACACCTTCACCCTTTTTGACTCAGGAACGGCGGCAGAAAATGTGCGCAGTGGCTGTTCAGATCGGCGAGCTCATTGGCTACGAGGGTGCTGGAACTGTCGAGTTCGTCGTGGACGCCAGAGACGGGAGTTTCTATTTCCTCGAAGTTAACACACGCCTGCAGGTCGAGCATCCCATCACAGAAGAAGTCACAGGCCTTGACATTGTCTCATTGCAATTGTTTGTGGCTGCTGGCGGATCACTCGCTAGTCTCGCCATCCTACGGAACATTCCACAAAAAGGCCATGCCATCGAGTGTCGTCTCTGCGCCGAAGACCCAAGCGGCGACTTTATGCCACAGAATGGCACCATTCAATTGTGGCGCGAATCAGACCAGTATCAAACGTCAAGAGATGTACGTTACGAGACGTCCGTACAAACTGGATCCAGTATATCCATCTACTTTGACTCGATGATTGCAAAAATTGTCGTGTGGGCGCCAACGAGGTCACTGGCCATCTCGAAAATGGTCAAGGTTCTCGCAAATACCGTATGCGCAGGAGTGAAAACCAACCAACTTTTCCTTCAGTCCTGCCTCGTACACGACAGCTTTCACGATCCGGCATATACGACCTCGCTGATTCCGACGCATTTGCAAAGTCTGCTGAAGAATCCCTACACCGACTCTGCGCAGGACATGATATCCATGCTTTCGCTTGTCCCGGGCCTCGTGCTGAGAGATGGAGCATCTCCATCCGGTGATGCCAGGCCTTTCAAGCATGTCACTCGCGGGTTCCGGAACCAACACTTTGATCCCGTCAATCGCAGCACCAGTATAATTGTTCCTTCCGAGCCGTCATTCGCTCAGGCACCGATTCTGTTAGTTTGGGGGTCCCAGTCTCGGGGCGAAGGCCACTCGAAGTACCAGGTCACGTTAGTCCCCATTCCCACGGGTGCAGACGACAGTGCTTCGGAGACTGGAAGCCGCAACAATACAGAGGCCTACCAGATATCTCGGCAGTATCACGCCATCAGCCACAAGCTGCGGGATCCATCGCTCGCCAAAGCTCCGCAGTACACGGTGGAATTTACCCAATGGAAAGACATACAAGATCTTAGTGGCGACAATGGATGGAGAAAAGCCTCAGTGGCCGTCTCCATCAACCAGTCCGTCATCCACGCCCACATCGCGACAGACACACCGTCCAACCCCGCGTCGTCTACCAGCTCCTATCAGACTGTCCTGTGCCACTTCCGCGGGCTGGGGACTTGGGTCGAATACAAATGCTACAGCGTGCTCAACTACATGGAGAGTCAGCGACAAGGCGGGGCTGGCGGGGCCTCGGCGTTGTCGAATTCGAAGGTGATCAAATCTCCCATGCCGTGCAAGGTCCTCTCGGTGCTCAAGGCCAACGGGGATCAGGTGAAGGCGGGTGAGGTCGTCATGGTGATTGAGAGTATGAAGATGGAGACGAACATTTCCATCAACGTGGACGGCAAGTTCATGACGGGCGTCAAGAATGGGGATGCCGTCAACGACGGGGCGGTGCTGTGCTGGGTTGAATAGAGTTAGTAAGTGGTAGATTTGCCAGGTATACGCATAGACAGACGGTTTTATGTCGTTCATTTGCACAAGTACCGGGTTGTCGGTAATAAATAACGTACAATACGGTAGCTCGCAGGCTACGTCGAGCGGATGGGATATACTTGTACTTGAATAGGAACACTCTCATTCATTCGTTCCTCTTCTCTGCAGAGGCCTGGAGATTGAATACCTAGCTATCATCCAACCTACCGACCCGTCCCTAACTAACCAGGTTTTACATTTACCTACTCAACAGGTACCCTCACCCCACGTCTCGTTGTAATACGAGTGGGCAGATAGGCGGACATCAGCCAATCAAACAATCTACCTCGGTATATACATGGCACTTTTGTAGTTGGGTAGTAGTTAGTCACTAGACAGTGCATTGTACCCTCTGCCTTGTACCTCGAACCTCGAACCTCGATCTGGATTTGTGATTCGCCTCGAATTATGTCTGCATCTTGAATCATACGTTCACTTACTGACCTCATTGCGCATTCGTACGAGTACACAAAGACCGGTCTGAGGCATTGAAACACGGCCCGTCCACGGCCAAGACCCATCGGAACTGAATCCGCGTTTCCCGCCCCTCAAGTACGCAAGTGGAGAGTTCAAGGAGCGGGAAATCTGCTTCAAAAGGTGTATCAACCAGTCCGTGAGGACGGATGGGATGAACAGGAGGCGAAGATTACACGGGAGATTATCATTTGAAGTCCCTCTGATGAGTATGTAAGTACTGCGTAGACTCAATAATGTGAAGACCATTCGGCCATGTTCCGCACGTGACTGAATTGCCCACCTTCGGTTCACCTTCTGCTTCCAGAGCCTCCCCTGAGGTTCACAGAAGTTTCGATGTTTCTCACTCGCAACATCAACTACACATACATGTACACATACTATGCATGCCAATCGGCTCGAACGCTAGACCCGGGAACCTTTACTCGTACAACCAGTAAAGCTTGACCTTTAACGACCACATCAGGGCTCACGTGGATCGCAGTGCGAGGCTTGACCTGTTCGCCATGTAGCACCCAATTTTAGCCACCCATAGGCTCATGGGACAGCTAAGCGCTGTGCTTCACGCCCAAACTTCGAGTCTGCTCGGAGAAGGTGATATCCTGCTTTTGAAACGAACCATGTTCGTATATACACAACTCATGCCGATATCTGTAATGTGTGGCCTTTTGGTGACGCCCAAATTCTTGGTTCATCTAAGCGGCAGCTTTCGACAAGAGTTCACACCTCCATCTTCCGTGTATCGTTCGTCCTCGGCTTCAAGTGTTGATTCTTATCCTTTGCTCACGATCTACGACGCACGCACACCATTTCCGGCATTATACTCAAGTGTACCGAGTACAATAAACCACACTGGAATAGCAATCAGGGGCTTTTGGAACGGAAACTTACGCAAACAGTCCCCTCGACGTTACTATTGATCTGGAGGGTCCTTACCACCGAGTCACGCTTTGATCAAACTAACCCATTCTCTAGTGTGCTTCTCGTTGCCATTGTGGCCGCATATCTCCCCCAAATCGGCCGCATTGTACGCCATGGTGCTACCCAGGGTATATCTCCATACTTTGTGCTCTTCGATGCCATCTACAGTAACATTCATTTTGCGCACGCACTCTCATTTGCAGCTTATGCATATCCTACGACCGAGAAACCCGTTCTGTCACTCGTCGGTGAGGGAAAGTTGACAGGTCTCGGAGCCTTGGGTGGTATCCTAGGGTTGCTGCAAGTAGCTCCGCCTCTGTGGGCATGCTCAATAACGCTGTACACGTTCAGCCTCCTCCGAACTATTTCCTTGAATCACATAGTCACGAGCACGCAGGACGACCTTATTCGCCTCCTACCCCTCCAGCATTAAACCGGCTAGCCTCTCTAACAACAAGGCTAGCACTGCCATCGCTGCCATCGCTTTCACACATGCCGCCTTGTTCCTATTCCCAGCTATGCTCATCGCTCTTCCTAAACCGTCCCCGCGAAGGATGGGAACCACAATCTTCATCGGCTCTACCCTGATCGTCCATACATTGGTCGCCCTATTTTTCGTCTTGTGGCAGTTCTATCCGCAGTACCTCGAAATGAGGCGCATGTCGGGGCGCGCCAGGCGCGCTTAGCGTTGTCTTTCTCGCCCTTCAAGCTGTGGTTATTGTAGCAATTGCGCTGAGATGGCTGCTGAGGCTGGGAGCACCGACGGGGAGGGATCAGTCGGTGCTACTCGGTGCGTATCTCGTCACGCGCTACCGAGGCAGAAGACATGATCTGGAGGCTGAAGCAGCACCTTTATTGAAGTAGAACAGTGCCGCATAATTACGAGAACGAAAGTAGTTTGTGCAGCGGCTGACGGTGTTTGAAGCCTCAAACGAGTCGAGGTAGTACATACATACAGGGGACTGGTTTCTAGAGGATCAAGACGCTATTAGAACAGGACTACGAGTAACTCGGTATTATTACCTCCGTACAAGTTTTTCCGCTGCGGAATGATATGTACAGTAAATTGACGTTCTAGCTGCAAAGGCAAGTCTAGCCGATCGCAAGGGCCGAGGTGCCCGCGCGGACCTCCCCTTTTGCCCCCTCCCCCAACAGAGCCGTGGTATGTTAATTGTTCCCGGCTGGGGGTGGCCCGCCCGTGCAGAATCCCAACTACCTAGGAACTACCTAGGAACTGCCTAGGGACTGGGCACTCTTTTGGTGGCTTGCCTCGTCTGTCTATGCAAAAGAGTAAAATGGGTTGGATTTCTCTTTCGGCGTTGAATCGGTTATTTTTCCAAAGTGGAACTTTGAAATATATATACTTGTAACAAATCTGGGGTTTATTCTAATACCCCAAGTTACTTGTACGGTTGTACTTGTAGAGCTACACACTTCCCGTCACATTCACGTCACGTCGCGCCACACCACACCACACCACACCACGGGACGCAACGCCAGAAAAAGAAGGAGAGGAACAAAAGCTTGTAAGAGAAGAAAGTCAGTGGTTTGTTTTTCAAGGATAGGGGGACAGCTACAGCGTGACAGAAGAGGTCACAAGATTAGGGAGAAAAGAACCCTTCCCCCAACTCTTGACTCTTGACCTCTCTGATCTGTTTTGTTGGAAATTGTGGAAAACTTCCGAGTGGGAACAATTTTGTTACTTTTTGTGATTAAATATCTTTTATCAGCGATCACAATGGCTCCCTCGATCTCTTCAGCACCGTACGCAGACCCTCCGTGGCTCTCGCGCGACGTCAGCCCCTACTACACCGCGAGCCATCGACGGCTCCAGGCCGAGGCGCGCGAATACGTCGACACGCACATCACCCCGTTCTGCGAGGACTGGGAGCGCCAGGGCTCCGTGCCCAAGGAGGTCATCCTCAACCACGCCCGCTTGGGGTACATGGCCGTCTCGATCTACCCTCTGGCAGTCGCCCAGATCAAGGCCGTCGGCCAGAGACTGCCCGGAGACATCGACCCGGAAGAGTGGGACGGGTTCCATGACCTGATCGTGATTGACGAGATTGCCAGGTGTGGCTACCTGGGCGTCATCTGGGCGTTGAGTTGTGGCAACTCCATCGGCGCGCCACCGCTCATAAATTTCGGGAGCGAGGAGCAGAAGATGAGATTCCTCCCCGATGTGATAGTGGGTCGATCGCGATTTTGTCTTGGTGTCACCGAGCCGGATGGTTAGTTTTCTCTCCCTCCTCTCCGATATATTCGTCATTCTTTCTAACTCACCACAGCCGGGTCGGACGTCGCGGGCCTCACAACGACGGCTGAGCGTCGTGGAGATGTGTACATCGTAAACGGCGCCAAAAAATGGATCACCAATGCCATCTTTGCCGACTACTGCACCGCCGCGGTACGCACAGGGGGACCAGGCCGCGGGGGAGTATCGGCGCTCATCATCCCGCTCAAATCCCCCGGTGTGACATGCAGCAAGATCGAAAACTCGGGAGTCAACGCCAGTGGCTCCACCTATATCGAATTTGACGAAGTCGAAGTCCCGGTGGCAAACCTCATAGGCGCAGAAAACCGTGGCTTTGATATCATCATGTCCAACTTCAACCACGAAAGACTCTGGCTCGCATGTACGTCCCTTCGCATGGCACGCGTCTCCATCGAAGACGCCTATGCCCATGCACTCAGGAGACATACTTTCGGCAAGCCCTTGATTGCGAACCAAGTGATCGCGGCCAAGTTTGCGGACTTTGGCCGTGATGTCGAGCCAACACATGCATACATGGAGTCAATTGTGTACCTGACGGAGCATGAGAGAAAGAGGGCGATCCAAAATCGCCAGGGAGCTACGTCTCGGGAAGACCTCAATCTCGGAGGAATGATTGCCATTCTCAAGACCAGCGCCGGGCGGGTGTTAGAACGTGTCAACCGGGACGCACAGCAAATCCTGGGCGGAGCAGGCTATTCGAGGACTGGAAAGGGTGCCAGAATCGAGCAGATCAGTCGAGATGTCCGGGTCATGGTAGTGGGCGGAGGCAGCGATGAGATTTTGAGCGACCTTGCAGTCAAGCTGGAGACAAAGGAGTTGCAAAGGTTGACTCGTTCGTCGAGCAAATTGTGACCAAGATGTAAAGTAACTCTGGATAGTGGCGGGCCTTGTCGGCGGGTGAAAAGAAGTGTTGGATTAAAATCGTCAATAGAGCCGTTCTCTGCGCATCCACGGACATCAAAAAGCAGCCGGCGGTCCATTGGAAAAGGTTGGCCGCGCAAATCCCTGCAAGCTGTTGTCTCCCATGGCTTCTGCCAAAATTCCGCCCATGTCTTCTCCCAGCATACGAGCGTACGTGGCAGGTAGAACACCGCTTGTGTTATACTGGTCTCCTGGAAGATTCGTGCTGCCTGAAGCCAAGGACTCACTGATATTTGTCCGCAGGTGTCCGGTTCCTGGCAAAAGATCTGCCAGTGTAGACCTTGTCTCGCCAGGGCGGATGTTGTGGGGCAACCAGGCGTAATCGAGGAGCTGCCACAGCATATTTCCAAGTGGCACGGTCATTTTCTGTGCCAGGCTCGTAGGGTTTATGAGAACCCTGGCAACTTCGGGATCCAACTTGAATGAGCGGAGAAGGGTACCCTTGAACTTTGAATCAGTACACATTCTTCAACTTGTTTACCATTTGACACTGTCGCCGCATAGCGGGATAACATGTAAGACAACCGACGCATGTTGGTGGCCATCACTTACCATGTGGCCCACATGTCCCCACCGTACTGGTTCACGTTGTAGGAAGCTCAGAGCTGATTGAAGTTGTTTCCTCGAGGCCTGTGCGACTTCTGCGTCTTCACTCTTCTCGTATATGCTGTGGATCACCCCAGCTGCCATTGCACAATAACCATAGAAGCTGGGATGGCTGAGCGGGCCGTACGTTTCCAGATCGATCAGTAGCTCGAGGAGATTTGTGGCGTGTCTTCGGCATCTTTGTAGTGCCTCTTGCACGAAACTTAGAGGTACGGGTGCCGTATATGCCTGGAAGAAGCGGTATAAGATGAATGGATGGTTGAGAAGACAATTATTGAGGTGGTAGAGGGCGTGGGAGTAGATAATGTGGCTGACATGTGATGGTGAGGTAGACTCGCTGAATGAAGGTTGTCGATTGAGCACCTCGGAAATGGTACTGAAAGCACATGGCGAGTGGCTTTCGTAGTACAATAAAATGCTTTGTACCTCATAATACTTGGAGCGCGGATCCCAGAGAACGTGAGTCGTATTCAAAGTGCGCTTCAGGCTAAAGCGTATGAAGCGGCCTAGTGCCGATGCCATGATTATAGTCATAGCGAACGGATCCAGGTTTTGGTGGTTGGCGCCTGACGGATTTTCGACCACCGAGGTCAAAGTTGGCACCGGGCCCCCATCGAGCCCATCCCTGAAAAAGCTCTCGTGACAGGGTAGACGAACAGTGCAGTCTTCATCGAGAAGCGAAGGGGGCCGGTTGGGCCCAACCGACATCAGGATATCGAGAAGATAGACCGACCAGAATATTCGCCGCCGTTCTTCTTGTTCGTGTATAGGAAGCTGTGGATCGGGCTCTTCATTGAGTCGCAGGGCATGTGCGAACCGACACGACAGAGCCAGCTTCACCCAGCCTATCTTTGGGCGTCCGGCTTTGCACGATGTTGTGTCAATCCTTGCATGCCTCGCATCTACCGTCTCACCAAACTCACCTGCGAAGTCCACAACCGCCAATATCGCCAGAGCCACCACCATCAAAGGCTCCAAACTCTCGGCATCGGAAAATGAGTGTTCGAATATTTGCCCGAATGATGATTGTGCATATGCATCGATTGCTTCACTACGACGATGCCGATAGAACTCATGGTCGGAGAAGCGGCAGGCAGCAGCAGCAAAAGCATAGAGTAAATACTCGGGCAATGATCCGGATTCATAGTCATGGCGAAACATCTCTTCGTGGAAAAAGGCATAGGGTTGGTTGTGACAGCGATCAAAGTAGACTTGAACCAGAGATCGAAAGATTACCGGATCAGGAAGAAAGGTGAAGTCGCTATTCGTCCGCGCAATGTCGTCGACTGCAGGGGGTTGATCCACGGATTGATTGACTGCCGTCGGTGGGGACACCGAAGCGAATAGGTTGAATGCATTGTCCGCGTCCAGAAAGCTCAGCCGAGACTCCAGCAAAGCGACTCTTGCAGCAAGACTTGCGTTCTGTGCGGCTGTACCTGAAGAGGATAGAGCTCGGCCCGTGTCCGTGAGTCGTTCGGGCGAAACATCTTCGTCGCCATCCCACGTACAGCGCTGATTGAGCCGGGCACAGAAGGCGCACACTGGCTTTTCCCCTGAGCAGCGCGTCTTCTTCCTGTCAACCATTGTGAGCTCGTAGTGGTGGATACGCAGATACCACATCGCACCCATTGTCTGGAGATCGTGGCTTTGTATTCACTGGACAGACTTACCTCCTACAATTGAGACACGCCTGGCGTGCTCGTTTGGCCTCGCGTCTGTCATCCATGAAGGCTGATCGTAATGGGGAGCTCAAAGACTTGCCTTTGTGAAGTCATGTCATTGCTAGAAATCCGCCTTGGCTGGAGATGTTGCTACCACTTCGGGCATAGTAGCGGGGATGCGCACGCCACGGCATTTGACGGCTACCGACATGTAGCACAAGGCTTGGCGCAAAAACCTCTATATAGACTAGTGCGCACAGGGCAAAAAATTTAATTTATATAATAAAAGTCCGAAAATGCTTCACAAAATGAATTGTCTGATATGATTTCAGAACAACTTACAACTTATCAAAAAGTTCTAACCCCTTGTGGTGTAGTTGGATATCACGTTCGGCTGTAATGGATTTTCATATAACCGAAAGGTCGCTGGCTCGACTCCGGCCGAGGGGACTCATAATTTTTTTTGGGGAGAGTTTTGTTGGTTTTTGTGTTTCTGAGAAGCATTAAGCATGTGACTGTGGTAGCTTTTGTCGTGTGATGGAGTGCAAGCCAAGCCTTGTAATGACGCCAATGCCACCCTCAACTCAACATGTTTTGCACCTAACGTTGCGGTGTCAAGGCGTGTGTTTGACACTGTTATCTGTCTGACAAGCAAAAGATCGCATGTTAACTATGGGAGACTGCAGCGCCAGGTGAGAAAATCTATCTGCCAGACTCTAGTGATATTTCATGTATGTACAAGTACAGCTCGTCGAACTTCACTTCTCTCACTTTTCCACCTTTTCCTCTCATCCTCATCACCATGTCTTCATATTCTTGCCAAAGCCCGATGGCCTGCACTCCCTTGCACTGGCGGTGTCTGCACGACTTCTAAACACATTGCAAGCACATCGCGCGTATCCCGCGGATCAATTACTCCATCATCCAGCAAGTAGGCGCTTGTCCGATACGCACTGCTGTCCCTCTGGACTTCCTGCTGCAACCGCTGCACTCTAGCTTCCACCTCTTCGGGCTTGAGGACCACTCCTTTGCTCCGGGCGCTATTAGCTTCAATCTGAGCCATCACCCCAGACAGCTGCTCTGGTCCCATTACACTGCACCGTCCAGTTGGCCAGGTGAAGAGAAAGCGTGGTTTATATGACCTTCCACACATGGCATAGTTGCCTGCGCCATATGATGCCCCTAAGATAATGGAGATGTGTGGCACTTTTGAACAGCTGACCGCGGATACAAATTGCGCCCCCTTTTTGATGATGCCTGCATGCTCAGCCTTGGAGCCCACCATAAAGCCCGTCACGTTGTGAAGGAAGGCAATCGGGATGTTTTGTTGATTGCACAGGCGGATGAACTGCGTGCCTTTGGATGCTTCGTCGGGATTGATGATGGGTGTCTGGTTTGCAATTATTCCAACACGCATCCCTATTTCATTTCAGTCCTTGTTTGACATCGAGGATCACCGCCAGAACTTACCCATGATATATGCCCACCCTGTCAACAGATTCCGACCATACTCAGGCTTGAATACCGCCAGACGTGACTCGTCAATCAACCGGAGAACCACCTCTTTCATATCGAAAGGCTTTCGCACGTCGGGATTGACAATGGAAAATATGTCATCGATGGGATAACGCGGCGCAAGCGGTGGACGCATAGGCTGCGCTGGTCGACTCGGAGCCGATAACGTACTGACCCATTCTCGAGCCTTGCGAACCGCGTCAAACTCGTCAAAGGCAATTTGATCCGCAAGGCCGGTGACAGTCCCGTGAACTCGAGCCCCTCCCAGCTCTTCCGCGACGATACTTTCGCCGGTAGCCATTTTGACGAGAGGAGGACCTGCGAGAAAGACTTGTGCTTGATTCTCAACGAAAATAGTATAATCTGACAGCCCAGGATGATAGGCGCCACCTGCCGTGGAGGAGCCAAAGACAATTGCACAAGAGGCCTGTCCATTCTGGGTTCGCACGGCGAGATCACGGAAAATCTGTCCTCCCTTGTGGAAAACTCGAAACTGCTGCGGAAGAAAGACTCCTGCCGACTGCACGAGGGCGACGATCGGCAAGTCATTCTCGTTGGCGATTTCCGTCACTCTGTTTTGTTTGATCACTGTCAGCTCGTTCCATGCGCCACCACTTTGTGTTGCAATGTGCGCGAGAACGAGGCAGATGCGGCCGCTGATACTTCCAATACCAGCCAGGAGGCTGGCACAAGGGCTGGAATCCTTCAAGTCGAAGCCCGTAAAAGAGCCCAGTTCGAGAAAAGACGAATCAGGGTCTAGCAGCAGCGATATCCTGTCTCTTGCCAATAGTTGTCCCCTTTCCTCATGCTTGTCGATAGATTGGGAGGTGCCTTCGGATGTTGTCCTCAGTAGATTCCTGGAGAACTCGTCTATCACCGGTTTCCATGCCTCTCGATTCGACCTATACGGTTCTCTGGTCACATCGAGAAGCGACTCAACCACGGGGAAAGACTCAGCGTGCGACATGGCTTGGAATGGATCTTAGGTAGAGGGGAGCGGACCTGGAGACGAGACTCATGGAACCAGCTTCGGGGTTTGATGTGATATGAGAGTCCGCCATAACCACCGGCCAATCCCTGGACATGTACCGTGCATGGTTGGGCCGAGGCTGCCCCGGTTCGACGGTGTTGCGGAGCCCAAATGCAACCCTTGCGAGGCGGCCCGCCAGAGCGGAACGGGTTCCACATCTGCCACAGTCGCAAGAGAGATCGAGACATGTTTGTCCGGATGGTGACTATGCCCAAGTATCACGGTCCCGATGTTCGCTGCCAGTGTCGGGCCAGATGACACTAATATATCAGGTCTCCAGCAATATCCACCAGGGTGATTACCTAGACTCCCAGAATGCCCCTACACCTAGAAGCATAATGGCAAGTATTGATCCTGCAAGTCACTCAACAGCACCACCAACAACGATGGCGTCTGCACCTTCTTTTGTTACAGGCCCTCAAAGGCCACCCTTGTTGGAAGAGACTTTGGGGGAACTCATGTATCGACAGGCTGCTCGATATGGCGAACACACAGCAGCCGTCTTCTCCTGGCAACGTCACAGGCTCTCGTACAACGATCTTGTAAGGCGAAGCGAAGCAATTGCAAAGTCGATGTTGGCCAGAGGGTTGAGGCATGGAGACAACATTGCGATCATGGCCGGAAATTGCTATCAGTACATCGAGACATTCCTTGCTGCTGCGCGGATAGGCTGCCCTTTCATTGTCCTGAACAACACTTATACTCCGAAGGAGCTGGTCTCTGCTCTGAGTGTAACATGCAAGTTATCTTCTTCGCTCTCTCTGACGCTGGTCTAACTCCAATTGCAGCATGCAAACTTCTTTTCATCGCTGCAAAGATCCGACTGAAAGATCTGTCTGCGCACATTGAAGCTGTGGTCAAGGAACTGGGAAGCGTACCCTGTGTTTCTCTGGCAGCCGACGACAACGCGACACACAAGTCTTTAGGGTTGTGTCCCTATTCGTCTTTTGTCTCTGAAGGGCGGACTGTCGACCAGGTGACACTGACGCGAGCAGAGAGCCGTGTCCGGTGTCATGATGTCTTGAACCTCCAATTCACTTCTGGTATGTCACGGTCCTATGCAGGCTTCGAAAGTCCAGACTGACCAAGGTAGGAACCACTGGCGCGCCAAAAGCAGCCATGCTGACTCACAGGTAATCAGACCCGTTGCCAGTTGAGCAATGGACCGTGCTGACATACTCAGGAACCTGATCAACAATGGCCGCTTCGTCGGAATGAAGATGCAGTTGACCCCATCCGACATCGTTTGTTGTCCACCCCCGCTGTTTCACTGTTTTGGTCTTGTGATGGGCTTCCTGGGGGCATTCACTCATGGGAGCAGCATTGTGTTCCCCTGCGACCAGTTTGATCCTGACTCCGTCCTTGACGCACTGAACGAAGAGAAATGCACTGCGCTGCTCGGGGTACCAACCATGTTCATTGCGGAGATTGAAGCCAACAAAGCAAAGAGATACAAGATCTCGTCCGTCAAGACAGGCCTTGTTGCAGGGTCATCGGTTTCACCGGCGCTGGTGAAGCAATTAGACCCAGAGTTTGGTATCAAGGGGGTGCTCATCGCGTATGGAATGACTGAGACGAGTCCCGTGACGTTCATGACCTCGCTTGATGACACGGAAGAAAGACGAACCAAGACTGTTGGGAGCGTGCTACCACATACAATGGGCAAGATTGTCGACCGCGCTGGAAACATAGTCCCACGTGGAGTGCGAGGAGAGCTCTGTGTAAGTGGCTATGCTTTGCAGAGGGGGTACTTCAACAATCCGGCAAAGACAGATGAAGTGATGAAAAGGGATGAAAATGGTGTCCTGTGGATGTACACTGGTGATGAATGTGTCATCGACGAACACGGGTACTGTTCTGTAACTGGGCGGATCAAGGACATCATTATTCGCGGTAAGTCACCACGACCGAGCTCCCATTTGTACTTTTCTATGCATTGAGCTGTCGCGTACTCACGACTGACCTATGAGCGTACAAATAGGTGGCGAAAACATCTTCCCGAGCGAGATTGAAAGTTGCCTGGCCGAGCATCCCTCGATAGCCGAGGCCAGCTGCGTCGCCATCAAGGACGCCAGGTACGGCGAAGTTGTCGGCGCGTTCCTGCGGGCACATCCACGACCCGGCTGTCTCGATCTCGACCTCAAGGAAGGAAACAGAACGCGGCTGCTGCGGCCGGGTTGGAAGGAAGTCAACAACTGGGTGCGCAAGTCGTTGGGGAGCCATAAAGCGCCCAAGTACGTGTTCTGGATTGGCGATGAAGGTGTGGGCGACGAGTTTCCCAAGACCGGCAGCGGGAAGATCATGAAGCACATTCTCCGAGATATTGGGGAGAGGCTTGTGCAGATGGGCAAAGGCGGGGATGAGAAGCTGGACTCGGT